AATTAGAATGTTAGCTGTGTCTTCACCAACACTCTTGCTTATCTCTCCCTTTTTATTTCTGTGCCTCCTCTCAAACTAACACCCAACCAGACATCATCTGGGACTATTCTAGACTGCTGAGTTCTGTAGCACGCAAGCTGCAACCCCACCAGGCGCGCTACTCTAAACTCTCCAATGCAATCTTGAACAACGGTTATTAAAGTCATTCCTAATCAGTTCCCTTTTTCATCCTTATCTCTTTCTTCTGGTCCTTTCTGTCGATTCAAATCTTCTGAATCCCACTTGCTGTTCTCATTCTTTGTGAAGTGACTTGGCCTCTCTTTACCCACCTACTTCCCCATTCAGGACATCAGGCATTAACGCCTCCAATCTCAGGATATCTTATCTTATATCCCGTGGGTTTTTGTGCTCATTTCTTTTGCCCTCAGTGGAATGATGGTTGGAGATGACACTAGACAGGAGACTGCGCCTGTCACTGAGCGCTCTCTCGGTTTCCACTCATTTTTCTGTACAATGTAGTTTGCAGTTGACACATATCATCGTATTGAAACTGCCTCAACAGAGGTGAGACCTTTTAATTGCCACCACAGTTGTCTGAATTAAAACAGAAAGAAGCTGTAATGAGAGCCATAGCGTAGCATTGCGAGGAAAAACGGAAATCATTCCTGGGAGAAGTTCAAGGGCAGCGCACAGGTACAGATCTGGCCCCCAACTGGCACTTTCTGGTGGCCCTGTTTGGGGCTCAATGGTTAAGGAGGACCTTGCATCAGGGTGCAACAAAGCCTGACATTGCAGTGGACAGCTCACAACAGTGAGCCCTTGCAATCCAACCACACGTAGAACCAGGCACGAGACATACCCCTTCCTGTAGTTCTTTGGCCTAAATCTAGCAACTTGACTCACGCAGAGGCACCTTTTTGAAGTTCTGGAAACTTCATGGCTTAGACCACATGACCATAGCACATTACTGCCACCTGGTGACTATGATGTGAATGAGCATCGGTATTAAGTAAGGTCTAGATCTGAACACTCCACAGACATATTTTAGACTAGGCTGTTTGCCCTTTGAGAATAGTGAATGGGTTTCCTACTGGGTTAAAAATAATGTGCTAACAAAGTAGGTACTTGGTGAATTTTTTTTTTAATTTAAGCCTTTCATTCACCAAACATTAATTAGCTAAGGGAGATAATGCTAAAAGAAAAATAAAATAAAATATAATTCTTTTCTTCAAGAAGATGAAAAGACAAAGAAGATATTGGTAAAATGGAGAATCTCGTATGATAAATATGTTTTAATGGGAGTTGAAAAGGGAGCGGTCAGTTCCGCCCAGGTAAAGGTAACATGGAGGAGGTGCTCAGCACCTCTGAGAGATTGTTGGCAAGGCAAACAATTGGCGTTGGCAAAGCGTGTAGTAGGCCATGGGGAGAAGGGGTATAAAAAGGGACAGTGAGGGCTGGGGACACAGCTCAGGTGGTAGAGTGTTTGCCAACATGCATGAAGTCTTGGGTTCAATCCCACCATGCATATCTGTCGTTTCAGCACTTGGGAGGTGGAGGCAGGAAGATCAGAAGTTCAAGATCATCCTTGGCTATATATCAAGTTTGAGGCCAGGTTGGACTACAAGAGACCCTGTCCCACACCTAGGAGTATATGGGCAGCACCAATTGGACTTGACAGATTATTTTTTAAAAAGAGGACAGAAAGTTAGGCGGTAAAGAAGTGGGGTGGAACTGGGAGAAGTCAGGGGAAGAGTATGCAATGAATATGCTCAAAATAGATTGTATGACACTCAAGTATATATAACAGTGTATGCATATATCCCACCAGAAAGGCAGGGTGTGGCTTTGAATACTGGTTTCAGTGACCCAGCGTGAGGACAGATCGACCCCTGAGAGTCTGGACAGGACACAGTTTAGGAGAGTTCACAGAAGTCCTGAGGGCAGACATGGGCAAAGGCTGGAAAGGGAAGGATGACTGAAAGGTTGTTTAGAAAGTGAGCTGGGGTGAGGAGCCATGCCTAAAGTCATGCAGGAAGCAAGGAGTGGGTAATCACGGCTCAGAGTTCTCCCGTGGACAACTAGGGGATGGGGAATCAGTGCTATAACTATCAAAACAGTGAGTCAAGAAGGAAGTCGTGGGTGTGTGGAAATGGAGAGGCATCTTGAGGTGACATATCGATTTTTTTTTTTTTCTTGAGACAGGATCTCACACTGTAGACTTGCCTGGAGCTCACTATGTAACCCAGCCTCCTGCCTCAGCCTCCTGAATGCAAATATCAGGAATGTGAACCACCAAGCCTGGTGTTATATCACATTTAAGGAGCCTTTCAAAGTAGGGTGTATGTTTGACTGTCAAAAACAGTAGGTTCCAGCTTAGGAGACAAGAGAGATGGGGACAGGATCTGGATGCTCACGAGGCATCATGCCCCACACTACCTTTAGGATACTCTCAAAACTTAGCCACTGTGTGTTGCTATAGTGTGTTGCATAGCTGTGTGCTATGATTTCCAAATCAGCAGGCTGACTTGATACATGCACGCTAAGGAGAGAGTAACAGTCACATGTCCCCTAGCTGGCTTGCCAGGTAGCACCTGGATCCTCTGCTGATCACAAATGGTGTTCCAGAGTGAGCAAAGTTGGTGGAGTATAGACTCTGTCCCCTGGAATGTACCTGGGGAGTCTCCCAGGTCTTGTTGACTGAGAGTGCATGTGCTCATTTTAAAGCTGCGTCTGGAGGGGGTTCTGAGAGAGGAGGTGTGATGGACTCACATCCTTTTAGCTTGATGACAGGAGGAAGAGGCAGAAAGGAGGAGAGAGACATAGTAAAATGAACTGAAAACGAGAAAGAAGAGAAAATGGCCAGAAAGTAGGTATAATGCTCAAAGGAGGGTGAGTTCTGGGAAGATCAGAAGGATGCTCCCATCCTCCTGGAACTGTGGTGAAGGGTTCATGTGCTGTGATAAAAGGGCCCCTCTGCCTTCTAATTAACTATAGCTCAAGTGTCACATATTCCCATTCTGGAAATATAATTGATGAAGGGAAAGAGTTACCACTGGACTGGCTTTAAATATGCTGTCATCCAATCAGTACTTTAAATCTACAGATCAAAGAGCTAGGATTGGGTGGCGGAACCCAGAACACAGCTCAACCTCCAAACTTACTTCTTTTAGAAACCCGGAAGCAAGGCTGTAGGTTTGAGTTTTAGAGGGGAGTAAGGGTAAAACATGCTCATTCATGTCAGTGTGGACACTGACAATTCTGGGTCTTTCTTGGGTCCCTGAGAGATAGGAAGGTATACCTCGGTCTACAAAGGGCAGTCACCACACCTGACAGCTCATGTCATGCCTAGGATGGGGCAAGCACTGTTCTAAATGTTTCCCACACAGGGGTTCATCTTGTCCCCATGGCAACCTATGTATCAGGGGCTTTTCTTATCCTCAGTTTGCAGGTGAGTAAACTGAGGCATAATGATGTCAGGTGAGTGGCTTCCTTAAAGTCACAATCTCATTGAGGGCCAGTGTGGAGCTAGAAGAGGCATTTCAGGGCCAATTAAGGATCAAGTCCTCTGTGCTTCTCCTACAGTGTTTGAAGAAACCTTTACAAGCTGTAGTGGCCCAAAGACTTAGGAAGGCAGTAGGACTTGGTGTGAGTCAGATTAGAAAAGAGAGGGGGATGTTGGGGAGGGGGCTCAGTGGGTAAGTAAGTGCTCAGTAGGAAGTTGAGTACCTGAGTTAAAATATCCAGAACTAGCATTTAAAAACGCATGTGGTTACACGTACATTTGTCACTGGGACTTACTCGTTGCTAGGCTAGTTCTGGGTTCAGTGAGAGACCCCATCTCAAAAGGATAAGATAGAGGGTGATAGAACAGGACACTCCCTGGTCTACACCACACACATCCTCCCCCGCCATACTTGTGCACCTGCACACATGTACACACCGCACCACACACACACACACACAGAGAGAGAGAGAGAGAGAGAGAGAGAGAGAGAGAGAGAGAGAGATTCTAAGTAGTGAAGACAGGTGCAAGGACAAAGGTCCTTCTCCCCTGTAGGAAGCAGGAGTTGTGTGGCCAGGAACCACAGGGAGGCTGCTGCCAAGGGGCTGGAGAGGTGTCAGCTTGCGGCATCGGAGGCCCTGGAGGAGTTTGAAATGTGAAACAAACGTGTTTTCGTTCCCAGCTCAGTGCATTTTAGGCCATTTCCCAGGCTCCATTAACTCATTAAACACACATTTCACTTTCCTCTCTGATGCTCTCTCCTTAACAGAGTCTGGCATCTCAGATGCTGACCTTTTATAGAGATTCTTATGCAGATTGTCCCCCTCCTTCTCCTTGAAAACACAGCTTAAATGCCACCTCTCTGTAGACTTAGCTGACTGCTCTGGGCAGGACTGTCATTCCTGTGTGCACAAGGCTTCTTGTTCATAACACACATAGATTTAACACATGGGAGCATCTTGTTGTCTCTAACAAGACCCAAGTCCTTGTAAGGTAGAACTGTTTTCTTTAAATCACTGGTGCCTTGCACAGTACCTAGCACATCATAGATGCCCAGTAAGAATCTGATGAATAAACAAATGGGTCATTACTGACTATCACCATATTATATAAAGAATTATCTGATCCAAAGCTTTATCCTTTGCGTGAATCCTCATTATAAAACTGAAGTAGGGGCTGGAGAGATGGCTTACAAGTTGAGAGTGCTTACTGCTCTTCCAGGGGTTCATTTTCTAGCACCCATGGTTCACAACCACCTGTAACTTCAGCTCCAGGAGATTTGAGGCCTTCTTCTGACCTCCATGGGCAATCACACACATGTGTGCGTGTGTGCACATACATACACAGAGAAATAAAAAAGAAATCTTAAAAAGCAATGGAAGTAACTCCCTTTACTGAGTTGCTATTGTGATCATTATATATTTATTGCCTTTATAGTACCCATTAAAATCTTTAATTATTGTATTGCTTATTTATATGTGTTTATTTTTTTTCCCAGGACAGTGTGAATTCCAGGAGACCAGGCACCACTTGTGTCTTGCTTAGTTCTTGCCCAGTGAAGGGCAGGTACATCCTAAATGCCTGCTATTCTCAGTAAGTGTATGTCAGATGGAAGGCTGAGGGCCACACCCACAGCTGGCTGTTCAAATTCTTTTTGCATCCTTAAAGTGAAAAGGAAACCCAACCAGTCCCTTTTCTTTTAGATGACTCTTTATTAGCAATCCTTCTATTGAAATAAAAACCAGCTCTCCCGGGCTACATATTGGCTTGTTGTGACTATAAAATATCCCACAAATTCTTGGAAATCCCCACTTCACTTCAAGGGGTAGACCCTAAGAGTGTGAGCTGGACTCTGGCTCACTTCTAATGATAGAATACAGAAGCCATGTGTGTGCCAGCGACTATCAGGAAAGAAACTGTGGCTTCTTTCTTGCTCTCCTAGAGAGCTCTCTGGGAAGGTTAGCCTCCATGTCATGAAGACACTCAGGTAACTCTGTGGAGAGACCTATGTAGCAGAAATGGAAAGTTCCTGCTATGTGGGTGGGTGCAATGACTATTCTTGATGGTCACCTTAATTGGATCTGGAATGAACTAAGAGATGTACCTCTCAACCGATCTATGAAGTTATCTCTAAGAAGATTAACTGAGCAGGGGGAGACCCTCCCAGAGAGTGGAGATGGCCCGGAGAGAGTTCTGAGGGGAAGCAGTGCTGCTGGCTTGCCTGCCTTGGCTCCTGGCTACTGACTGCATCTATTCTCTTGATGTGGCTGCTGACATCAGAACCTTGCTTCTTCGGGCCTTCCAACATGGACTGGAAACCAGCAGCTCTCCAGCAATCCTCCAGGCCTTCAGCGCCAGATTGGCACTCCCGAGGCCTCCAGCTGTGGACTGAGCAGGTTCTGAGTCCTCATTCTTTCCAGTGTGCAGTGTGTTGGAGTGTGTTGGAGTACCCAGCACATACTTAAATCAATCTCATAAACCTCTTCTCTATCAGTTCTGTTTCTCTAGAGAAACTTGATATGATGGGACATCCTGGACGCTCATCTCCAGCCCCAATCCAGCATTCAGAACTGTAACCCTTACATTCTACCTGAGGTCATAGACATCTGGTGTCCCTGACCAGGCCATGTCTAAATCCTGGCCTATGGAAACTACAACATGACAAATATGTCCTTTTTTTTTCCTTTAAGCCACTAAGTTTTAGTGTCATTTTAAAAATATTTTATTATTTTTATGTGTATGTGTATATTGCCTGCATGTATGTAAGTACATCCATGTCATGCAATGCCCACGGAGGACAGAAGAGGGTGCCGCATTCCCTGGAACTGGAGTTACAGACAGTTGTTAGCTGCCATATGGGTGCTGGGATTCAAACCCAAGTCCTCTGCAAGAACAGTCAGTGCTCTGAACCGCTGAGCCATCTCTCCAGCCAGTAATTTTTCTTTATAATAGTAGAAAATTGGGTATAGTGACCTACACCTATAATCCTAGTCCTTGGGAGGCTGAGGAAGGATGATTGCCGTGAGTTTGAAACCAGCCTGGGCTACGGGGTGAGATGGTACCTCAGAAAAGACATAAGAAGAAAAGTGAAGTAAAGAAAGCAAGCAGATACACAATCCTTTACAAGATTTTCTGGAACTTACACAACCTCGCAATATTGTCTTCTCTTTTCCAGATTAGATGCAGTTTCTGGATCCTTCATCCTTCTGTTCTCTGTCTCAGGGGCATATTGCAGCCTGTCATCAACCTTGAAAAAAGCTGGCACACAGAACTGAAAACAGAAGCAAGACATGGCTGTGCTGTCCCAGAAGAGGAATGCTGATCCTTCACATGCAGATGTGCTGTCCCAGAAGAGGAAGGCTGATCCTTCACATGCAGACATGGCTGTGCTGTCCCAGAAGAGGAAAGCTGATCCTTCACATGCAGACACGGCTGTGCTGTCCCAGAAGAGGAAAGCTGATCCTTCACATGCAGACACGGCTGTGCTGTCCCAGAAGAGGAAAGCTGATCCTTCACATGCAGACACGGCTGTGCTGTCCCAGAAGAGGAAAGCTGATCCTTCACATGCAGACACGGCTGAGCTGTCCCAGAAGAGGAAAGCTGATCCTTCACATGCAGACACGGCTGAGCTGTCCCAGAAGAGGAAAGCTGATCCTTCACATGCAGACACGGCTGAGCTGTCCCAGAAGAGGAAAGCTGATCCTTCACATGCAGACACGGCTGTGCTGTCCCAGAAGAGGAAAGCTGATCCTTCACATGCAGACACGGCTGAGCTGTCCCAGAAGAGGAAGGCTGATCCTTCACATGCAGACATGGCTGTGCTGGCCCAGAAGAGGAAGGCTGATCCTTCACATGCAGACATGGCTGTGCCATGTCGTCATTTTGCTTTGATTACAAACCCCCTCATTCTATTATAAAAAAAAATACAAATACACAGAGAAGTCCCAAGAATTTTATATTAAACACCCACTAATTACAGATACTGTTATTATTTTAAAATCTAAAATTAATTGAAATGAACAGTTAGGATTTGGGTGAGGAAGGCTGGAAACCAGGCTGGGCAGAGATATGCAAAAAATATCAGCATCCACAGAATAGACATTTTCCTTCTGTCTGGAAGGAAAAAATTTTTTTAATTATTCCATATTGTGATAATAATAGTTATTGTTTATGGAGCTGATGTTAACAACTCATCGGCCGTCTTTCAATAGCTCATCAAGTTATAAATCTGCCTCGCTGTACTGTCACCTGGGCCACATTTCTCTGCCTTATCCTTAAGAACATCACAAATGACTTTGTCAAATGCCTTGTTGATTGATCAATGTGTCCACTTCCTCTGCCGTATTCCCTCCCCTCTACCACACTAGTAAAATTCTCATTAAAGAACAGGTTCTTCTGTTCAGCAGCTTCTTTGAAAATTCACGGCAATTCCTAGCAATCAACTTTTTTTTTCCTTTTAACGTGCTCATAACTTCTTTCTTAGAGTATCTGTTGTGGTAGAGACTGATAGTTGGGTGCCTAATATCCATCTTTCCCTCTCTACTGACAGCCCCCCACTTTTTCTAGATACTGGCAAGATTCCGACAAATTGGGTATAGGTGGACATTATTGGGTAGATCTTCAACAACAGATCCTTGAAAGGGGACTAGAGGGCCTGAAGAGATGACTCCACATGCACACACACACACACACACACACACAGAGAGAGAGAGAGAGAGAGAGAGAGAGAGAGAGAGAGAGAGTTAGAGAGAGAGAGAGAGAGAGAGAGAGAGAGAGAGAGAGAGAATGGAGACCAGAGCCAATGAACACAGGCAAGTTTGTCCATGAATTTCCCCTTCCTTTTGCCTGGAACACAGACAGACATTGATGATGGTCATGGAGGAGCCATCTTGAGTTTAAGTCACAGTGAGGGAAAGGCCAGGAGAGTCTCAGAGAGCTCTCAGTCCTGACATCCTAGAGTAACAAAGATAATGTTCAAGATCACTCATACCATGAGAAAGCCTCTAAGTTGTTTAAACTAGTGATTGGGGTCTTCAGTTACTAATAGGCAAATGTGATTCAATTGTCTTAGAATCAACCCAACAGCTTTGTGGTTTTATGATTTGATCTTCTTCTATGACCTAGATAGTGTTATATTTGACAAGTTTCCTAATTCCTAGTACCACCGAACTTCATTGTTGAAGGGTCAATGGTCTCACTGGAAACCTATATTCAAGCCTAGGTCAAATCCATTCAGTGCAAGAGACATGAATTTGGACTTACCCAGTCCCCCCTTCCCCTCAGACTTTTTGTTTGTAGTTCTCAAGAATAACTGTTGAACATGCCTGAATATAGCATCTGGAGATAACAAAGGGACAGTCCAGAGCAGCCCAGGTTCTATTACAGTGCCCTCTAGAGACAGGATGTGGCTTAACACTTTGGTCAGCGGGACAGTCCCTAAGGTGTATCACCCACCCACAGCTACTTTGGGGATGCTTTGGTGCAAGTGAGGCGTGCACAGTTAGGGTTCCACCTTCCCCAAGCAAATTTCCTGAGCCTTGGGGACCAGCCATCCCTGAATCCATGTTTATGTTGTCCCTTGCTGCCTACCTGTAAAAGGCTAACCTGGTCTCTCTGAACTCAGACAAGTGGGTAATCAGTGCATTGAACCTGCTTTCTGGACTTATTCAAAGCAGCTTCTTAGACTCCAGGTGCCAATATGGGTTTTGGACTCTTCATTCCAATGACAAGTATCCTTGACAAAGACAAAAGCCCACCAGAAGCCCAGTTCTGTTGTTTGTCACCTGTAACCCCTCCTGCCTCTCCAGCCACAACCCACACAGGAGGAGAATGTTCTGTTCCTCTTGACAATTCTTGTACATCTCTTCTGGTCTCCAGCCTTCCTTACATGACCCCCTTGTGTATTTGTAGACTGAGTGAATGTACCTGAGATATGAACACACTAATGAATTCCATCAACCATGGGGATTCAGCAGGGATGCTTGGTTACTCTGCAGGGCATGGAGCAGTGTTTTGTTTCTTCTGTGTGTACAGTGCAGGCTGACTGTACTTCTTTTTCTCTTTTTCAGCCTGGAACTCGCTATGTAGACCAGGCTGGGCTTGATCTCACAGAGGTCTGCCCGCCTCTGCCTCCTGAGTACTGGGATTAAAGGTGTGCATTACTATGCCCAGCTGACTGTATTTCTTGACTATATGTATGTAGCAACACTGGGGAGCCTTAGCAGAGCCTGGGAAATCATCTACTGGAGAAGTTAGTGCCTCACTTGGTCATCTCTTGGGCGAGCCAGCTAGCCATCTTCTCTGCCAGGCTAAATCCAATTTCCTTCTACTGTTTTTCTAAGAGCAGAGGATGATCCTATTTAATCCAGTCTCAACTCAGTCAGAAGCACAACAGATGATCTGTTAAGTATTCTCTATCCATAGTTTCAGAAAAATTTTTTTTTCCAGGTGAGAAACTAAAAAGAAACTAGGCACCATGAGTGCTCAGGGGCCCACAGCCCACTTGTTAAAACTTAACAAAAACCAGAACCAGCCTTATCAAAAGGCTGCAGGACAGGCAGGCGTCGGTCAAGCCTCACAGATGAAGCCATAAACAAGACAGAACTCCTGACCACCCTGGGGGCCCGATACCAGGAAATCTTTAGAAAACGTCTGTGCTTCTGAGGTCACCTCCCATTTAGCAATCCTATTTCCCCTCAGCCCCGGACCTTACCCCATACCTCTGCATACCTTTGAAATTACTGGTAAAATTACTATGTGTGTTTGAATTACAGTGCCCTCTAGAGACAGGATGTGGCTTAACACTTTGGTCAGCGGGACAGTCCCTAAGGTGTATCACCCACCCACAGCTACTTTGGGGATGCTTTGGTGCAAGTGAGGCGTGCACAGTTAGGGTTCCACCTTCCCCAAGCAAATTTCCTGAGCCTTGGGGACCAGCCATCCTTGAATCCATGTTTATGTTGTCCCTTGCTGCCTACCTGTAAAAGGCTAACCTGGTCTCTCTGAACTCAGACAAGTGGGTAATCAGTGCATTGAACCTGCTTTCTGGACTTATTCAAAGCAGCTTCTTAGACTCCAGGTGCCAATATGGGTTTTGGACTCTTCATTCCAATGACAAGTATCCTTGACAAAGACAAAAGCCCACCAGAAGCCCAGTTCTGTTGTTTGTCACCTGTAACCCCTCCTGCCTCTCCAGCCACAACCCACACAGGAGGAGAATGTTCTGTTCCTCTTGACAATTCTTGTACATCTCTTCTGGTCTCCAGCCTTCCTTACATGACCCCCTTGTGTATTTGTAGACTGAGTGAATGTACCTGAGATATGAACACACTAATGAATTCCATCAACCATGGGGATTCAGCAGGGATGCTTGGTTACTCTGCAGGGCATGGAGCAGTGTTTTGTTTCTTCTGTGTGTACAGTGCAGGCTGACTGTACTTCTTTTTCTCTTTTTCAGCCTGGAACTCGCTATGTAGACCAGGCTGGGCTTGATCTCACAGAGGTCTGCCCGCCTCTGCCTCCTGAGTACTGGGATTAAAGGTGTGCATTACTATGCCCAGCTGACTGTATTTCTTGACTATATGTATGTAGCAACACTGGGGAGCCTTAGCAGAGCCTGGGAAATCATCTACTGGAGAAGTTAGTGCCTCACTTGGTCATCTCTTGGGCGAGCCAGCTAGCCATCTTCTCTGCCAGGCTAAATCCAATTTCCTTCTACTGTTTTTCTAAGAGCAGAGGATGATCCTATTTAATCCAGTCTCAACTCAGTCAGAAGCACAACAGATGATCTGTTAAGTATTCTCTATCCATAGTTTCAGAAAAATTTTTTTTTCCAGGCAGCACTCACTGTGATATGAAAGGTTTGTGATCAGGAAATCTTTCCAGATCAAAGGTATTTTAGGCTCTCTGTAGGTTATATGGTTTCAGTGGCATCTCCTCAGTCTGGCCCTTTTAATGTAAAAGTAACCATGAGCATTACATAAGCAAGTGAGCATAGCTGTGTTTCAAAGAGACTTTACTGATGGATATTGAAATTTGAATTTCATGTAGCTTTCATATCTCATGTTCTAGTTTGTTTTTCTATTGCTGTGACAAAACACTGACCAATACCAATTTGGGGAGTGAAGGGTTTATTTGGCTTATATCTCCCAGGTTATAGTTCATCACTGAGGGAGCCCAAGGTAGGGACTCAGGACAGGAACCTGGAGGCAGATGCTGAAACACAGGCCATGGAGGAACGCTGCTTACTGGCTTGTTCCCCTAGCCTGTGCTCAGCCTGCTTTTTTATACAATAGAGTACAAACTGCCCAGGGTGG